CCTTCCTCCCTTACCCCCTCTCCATCCCACCCCTCTCCTCCTCCCTCCCTCAGTAGCTCCACCTCCACTCCCTTCCTCCTTACCCCTCTCCATCCCCCCCTCTCCCTCCCTCCTCAGTAGCTCCACCCACTTCCTTCCTCCTTACCCCTCTCCATCCCACCCCTCTCCCTCCCTCCCTCAGTAGCTCCCACCTCCACTCCCTTCCTCCCCTTACCCCCTCTCCCTCCCTCCCTCACTAGCTCCCACCCCCACTCCCTCCCTCACAACAGTAGTAACCTCACCCACTTCATTACTTCATGGCGCACCGAATCCCCATAATGGTAACAGGACCATAACGGGGAAATCGATGATGGGTAATGGCCGAGTCAATAATGGGTGGATGCCCCTGAACTGTGGGGCGAGGGTATGGTAACAGTGAAACATCTGGGGGGATGGGGAGGGTGGGAGGTGAGGTTGGGTGAGGGAGGGGGAGGGGTGGGGTGGGGTGTGAGGGTGGGTGGGGAGTGATAATAGGAGGTTGATGGGGTGGTAGGAGATGATAGTGGGAGGGTTGATGGGAGTTGGAGGGTATGGTGGATGGGGTTGGAGGTATGGTGGATGGGGTTGGAAGGGGATGTGGGTGAGAGGGTAGGGAGGGTGGGTGGGTGGGTGGGTGGGTTGGTGGGGAGGGATGGTAGGGTGGGTGAGGGAGGGAGGGAGCGACTTAACCTGCCCCTGGTGGGTGGGTGACGTGTGCTAGACCTCACTCCCCCCACGTCGTTCTCGTCACCACCAGCAGAACAGCGGGGAGCCTTCTGTTTACTGCTACCACCATCGTCATCTCGCCTCTGTGTGTGTGTGTGTCTGTATGTGTATTCTTACTAAAACTTATGACTTTCAGTGTCTGGATGTAAACAAGACCATATATACACAGACAACAAGTATTTATAGTTCAATATTTCTCTCCCAAGTTACACAGACGCAGCTCCAGGTATACTGTATATACAGGTATATATCAGTATTCACTAACTACTAATTTCCATTCTGAGGCGAGGAGATATATTTCACAAGTGGTGGGTAGGCGGGTGTGTCATAATGTCTACCTACTCCCGCGTCCTCTTCTTCAGAGGCCGTAAAAATTACAGTGTTGGAGACTCCCCCCATAGCGCGCACAGAGGGCTGTCAACAGACTGTAAAATTAGCCTGCTGGGCATCGCATTATAGTTCGCTAATTTGTGGGGTGTACCCGCACCCTCCCGCTGGCTGTGTGCACCTCCCTCCGTCTGATACTGTTTCCGACGACGGGGGCCCTTTAAATGCCCACTCTCCCTCAGTCAGTGTCGCTGGGGATCGTTCAGGTACCCGGACACCCTCGCGGGCTGGGTCTACCACACCAGAACAAACCTACAGCACGAAAAGTTCTGGATACACGCGATGGCCAGAGAGACGGGAGGGTAGCCTGAATGGCGCACGTCGTGAGCCGCGTCGCCAAGAGATATGGTTTACTGCTAGAGTCTCGGGCGAGCTTTCCTTCTTCACTGCCATTGTGAGGTGATTCCCGTTGATAAATCACGCCAGCCACAATCCCTGAGTTATTACACATTTACTTGTAAAAAAAGAGAGAAAATAAAATAAAAAAGTGTAAGAGTGGAAGTTGTGTTGGCAATGGCGGTGGGCAGGAGACAGCTCACCCCCACGCTGGCCGGCGGGGGACCTTTGTTGTGTGCACGCATATCTCACCGCTTTTGTCAGCCTCCACCACGGATGCCCACCTCTTTCAAGCACTACCCCCTACACACATCCTCCACGACACACACCTTGACCCACATATCCCCCATAAACAACAAACGCATCTCACCAGCGATTCACAGCCCAAGAGTAGGACGCCCGGCCCAATGATGCCCAGGTCCTGAAGGTGGAGGAGAGATCCGCCTGGCTTATCTTTCACCTCGTGTTTGAGTGAAAGTGGACGAAACACAGGGGAACGAGGCGTGAGCGAGCGACACGGGGCTTTTGTCACCCAAACAGCTGCTGGCCAAAACAATCATGCCAAGCCGACAGCCCGTCATCACTGTCTCAGCCCCCGTCCTAAATACCCCCGTCCACCGATGAACCACTTTATAATATACAAATAAATATTCAAAAGCTTTATTAGACTTTAACCGCCCAAATATGAAAAACAAAAACAAAAATTAACTCGATTCAAACACTCGCTAAATCACGCATTAATTAATTTTCATGATGTACAGAAGGTGTATGTATGTATGTATGTCTATATGTATGTATGCAGGTGTGTGTGTGTGTGTGTGTGTGTGTGTACATCAGATCACACAGGCATCAGGTAGAAACCAGTGTAGAAAATGGTGATTAATGGTCAGGCATCTGTGGGAATAAATACTCACCTGAAGATTAGACTCCCCAGCTTATATCATCTGAAGATTAGACTCCCCAGCTTATATCATCTGAAAATTAGACTCCCCAGCTTATATCACCTGAAGATTAGACTCCCCAGCTTATATCATCTGAAGGTTAGACTCCCCAGCTTATATCATCTGAAGATTAGACTCCCCAGCTTATATCATCTGAAGATTAGACTCCCCAGCTTATATCATCTGAAGATTAGACTCCCCAGCTTATATCACCTGAAGATTAGACTCCCCAGCTGAATATTAATCACCCTAACCTAACCTAACACAACATTAAGTCAACGTATCTAAGTTCTCATTCACATAAAAACAAAAAAACTAAATTTTTTCATGATAATATTTACAACTTATGTAAATGAGGCTGTAATGTAAATATAATGAAAGTTACATTTTCATCCCAGTTTTTTTTATAATTTTTTACTTTATAAAGAAAATGGGATTCAGTCTTGTTTACCTGTGATAATTTTTGTAAGTTTATCTAATTTTTTTTTTTGGGAGGGAATGTTCTTATTTAGTATTAATTATGTTCAGCCTTTGTTCAACAGTCCTGGTAGATGTGAAGTGTTCATTTGTTCTATTGTTAATTCATTTACAAGTAGTAGTGGTGGTGGTAGTAGTGGTAGTAGCAGTGGTAGTGATGGTAGTAATGGTTGTGGTAGTGGTGGTGGTGGTGGTGGTAGTAGTGGTAGTAGCAGTGGTAGTGATGGTAGTAATGGTAGTGGTAGTAGTAGTGGTAGTAGCAGTGGTAGTGGTAGTAGTAGTGGTAGTAGCAATGGTAGTGATGGTAGTGGTGTTGGCTGTTATTATTATTAAACTTGGCAGGTAATATCTTAGCTTAAAAGACCAAGAATAAATTACATAGATTTGGAGTTTCGAACCAGGAGTTGAATCTTTGGCTTCGTCTCGCTGTGTGGGTTCATTGGTTCGATTCTCGTTGGTTCAAACTGTGGAGGAGTTCTAGGCTTCGTCTCGCTGTGTGGGTTCATTGGTTCGATTCATGGTAGTTCAAACTTACTATTATAGCTTCGGAGAGGAGGTTTACTAAGGTGGTTCATCGCTAATGGTTCATGTTTCATTAGTTCAGGTTCACAGTGGTTCAGAATTACTAGCAGATACACTTCAAATGTTTCATAACCAGTGATTGATTCGATTCATGGTTCGTGGGTTCATAATATAGAGGGAGCCAGACGACAAACACTCACAGACGGACACACACACAGACAGGTGAAAGCAAGGTCCCTAATCATTTCATATACAGGTAATAATAATAATAATAATAATAATAATAATAATAATAATAATATCTGCGTTTTAAAAGAAAATCCTGATTAATAAAAAAAATGACAGTGACGGAATAAACAGTTACCAGAAATGACATGGATGGCAGTGACGAGCAGTGAAGCTTTCCCTCAACTGAGAATGACTTAGCAGTGACCAGCATTATTCTCCCTTGACAGTGATATCTGCTCCTCATTCCCACAACAGTGAACAAATATGACTCCTCTGACATACAGTGACGACCACAGAGACACCTTCATATAATCTTGCTAAAATAAAACCCTTGGGAGCCTCCTCTATAACCCCTACATACACGGCCTCAAACCTCAAAACTATCAACTAACCTCCAAAAAAATTCTTCACCTCAACTCCCGAGATTCAAATGTTCCCGCCAATAGTTGAGGTGGGAGAGAGCGCGCGGGGAAAAACAGACAGAAAGGCCTTGCTGTCCACCCCGTCCCGTCTGTCCTCTGCACCTCCCCATCGGCTTGGACAAAAACAGTAACATGAGCAGGAGTTTGATAGCAGTATATCGACAGTTCCCGGATGTTTATGAGCTCCGATTACTTTTCCTTACCCTAACATAGATGTAAACAAAGACAGGGGAGGGAGGGAGGGGCTATTGTTGCCATTGTGGAGGGTGAACGGGAAGATCCGAGGTATTGAGTAGCCTGATAAGCAACATTAAAGGATTCGATGCGCTGATTGTGGCCGATAAGTGGAGTTAAATGCCCCTTCAGTGGGTTACAAGTTGTTTATAGATGAACAAAAGAAAGAGAAGAATTTAAGGAGTGTTTTATTAAAAGATTTTTCATAAGTACTTTGATATTAAAACGATCTATCAAGCACCACAAAAGGATTCGATACTCTGATGTAAGTAGAATCAAATCCCATTTCAGTTGTCTATAGAAGAGGATTAGGAGGAGTATTTTGTTAATATATATGTTTATGAGGTTATTGATGAATAGATATGTAAAATAATCACAAAACAAAGGATTCTATTTGTTGACTGTGGGAGAGATTCAAATGTTTTTTTTTCCTGCGTTGAAATCTGCATAGAGGTGTAAGAGGAAGCGGAGGTAGAAGACAAAGAGGGCGTGGAAGTCAAAGAGGGGGTGGAAGTCAAAGAGGGGGTGGAAGAAGTAAAAGAGGAGATGGAGAAGGAAGACGACGACAAGAGGTAAAAAGAAAAAAAATCATCTACAAAATAAAAAAAATAATAAAGTTTATATCGTATTTGTAACATTTTCATCTCGTGTATCAATAAAACACATCATAATATAAAGGTTGATAAAAGACTAAATAAAACAATCTTGCCTCGTTTGGAAGAGTATATTACAAAACAATATTATTATTTTAACATTTCACCATGACGGCATAGCAACCTTCGCCACAATTAGCAGCAATAAGGATTGTAATTTTTGAAGCATTATTTTTTTTTGTTAAGTACAGAGCTTTTTTGTCATTTATTTTAGTTTAAACACACAATAAAAGTGTCTGTAGAGCCGGCAAGAGAACGACGACTTAGTGACACATATCTACATAAAACATTTGTTGTCCTGAAGTTACATTAGAGTATTTACACGTATGATGATGATAAGTTTCTTCCCTACAAAATGCTGGCAGAGTAAGGGGGAGGGGGGGTCGGGGGGTCTGCTCCCAGATGTTCAGTTTACTAATGGTAATATTTGGCAAGAGGATTAATATTGTCCAGATAGAGGTTAAAATAATATATTACAATGATCGTCAGAGAGCAGAAGTTAAAAAAATGCTAAATCAGCAACATAATTGATAAAAGTGGAAAGCCTTTTGGTTTATTACGGTCAAGTGAGGAAGTAGTAGTCCTCAGCCCATCATCGTCACAAGGACTTGACTGCGGGTTTATACTGGTGAAGGACAAGACCCTCAGGTGACACCCGGCCAACAGGTGTGCCGTACGTATTGCACTAACATATACAGTACATGACGGTGTGATCGTCAAACTGAACAACACAGAGCTATGGGCTGCACACACACACCCCTGAGAACACCAAGTTATAGTTATTATGTACAGGAGGAGGAAGAGAGGCATTGTTTTATTTTAAGTACAGCAACACCGAGAACACCTTCCAAGTTTCCTTTCTTTTCTCTTCTCTCTCTCTCTCTCTCTCTTGCGCACAACACCGACGCCGTGCACCGTCCCGCAACACAACTTCTAAACTTTGCGCTGCTTTACCCGAATGCGCAGGAAGGCCACATTCACTAGCCACAAAAAATAATAAAAAAAGATAATGAATAAATACAAAAACGTGATATGAGTCCCGTATACTGCCAGCACACTCGGCGAGTCAGTCGGCCTAAGACAGCTTTACAATATGTACAAGAGGAATCAATTAAATATTAATTAATTACCCTGTGATAACTCTAGACGCGATGGCTACAGTTAGTAAAGGCTTCGTGAAAGACGAATCACACAACATAGAGAGATCAAAGCCCTCTTGCCTGGCCGGCTCGTCCCTCCCACAGGGTATCGGACGCCATCGTGCGGAGAGGTGGAGAGAGAGATGATGGCCGAGTGGTAGCGAGCGAAGCGCTTTGGCAAGAGGGCTGACATGGGCGGCATCAGACTGTGCACATTTGCTCCGTTAATCCCCGGGCGTGCAGGTGGCCGCTGGACCCCCCTCCCCCTCCCTCTGGCTGACCCTCCAACGGGCTCTCCTCCCTCCAGGGTGCCCTCCGTCCCTCATCGCCCAGGGAGGAGGTGGTAGTGGTTCCTTTTCACCGCTGCTGGTGAAACTGTCCACCACCAACACCGAAGGAGGGCGGCGTGAAGATGACGCCCCAGAGGGTTCTTCATCTACCTCCTGACAACTCACAGTGAGTGAGTGAGGAGAGAGTGGGTGGGGCGCCCCGTCAACCCGTGTTGCCCAGCCACCCAGCTAGACTCACCCGGAGCTTGGCCATGGTCGGGGACTCTGCGGTGGTGACGGCGGCGGTGTAGCCATGTGGAGTGCGTATCTGGGAAAGTCCCGCTACTGTTGAAGGTGGCGCCGCACGCCAGCTGCACGAGACACTCTCGTTGCTGCTCAGCCCGGAGATTCTGGCAACGGATGGCGGCGGCGACGGCGTTCAAAGGACCTGGAATTTTTCCCCCACAAAGTCCATACAGTCTTGGGAGCCTGGGGTGGTGACGCCTTGTACGGGCGTGACAGCGGCGGCGCGGGAGTAGTGCTGGCTGCCCATCATGCTGTGGGAGCTCATCATGTGGCCGCCCATCTGCTGGAATCCGCCCATGTGGTTGGTGACGGGCGTGAACTGTCCGTGGGCGCTCATGTGGTGAGGCAGGTACTCCATGCTCATGTTGCCGTAGTAGGAGGCGGGGCCGTAGTTCTGGTTCCAGGAGGACCCGGGACTCTTGCTGCTGGGCATGTGGTAGGAGGGAGTCTGCATGCAGTTGGCGGTGGACACGTGGAGGTCACCCATGGGTCGGAGACTGGTCGGGGCCCACAGTGAGGAGTAACTATTGGTGTGGTCACTCGTGGGCGGCGCGGACTGGAAGCTGCCATAAGTGTGCGTAGGTGTGGGCGTGGGCGTGGTGTTGGGTGGAGTGTGTGCTGATGCTGGGGACACTGAGGGAGGCTTATAGGCTGGGGAGGCTGGTCTTGGGGAGGACTTGATGACGGGAGGAGGCGGGGAGGGCGTGCTGGGGCTCTTGATTTTCTTAGGGCGTGGAGCTGCTGCCTTGGTGCTGTCAGTGTTGTTGCCGGCAGGTGTGGTGGTGATGGTGGTGGCTGTACCGCTGCTGTTGCTGCTGCTGATGCTACTGTTAGTGCTGGACGCCCCGTTGTTGCTGTTCTGCTGCTGCGCCTGTTGTCGACACTTGGCTCGACGATTTTTGAACCAAACCTGTCGACAAAAACATTAGTATTAGGTTCACCATCTCTCTCTCTCACTACGCTAATGTTAACAGTCACCACTCATACCAGTCACCACTCACCATTAAACACTAACTAGTCACCACTCACACTAGCCAGTCTAAGGGGCCGACTGAGTACTGGCTAACTGGTCGCTCGCTTGACCGTTAAACGACTTAACGGCAGAATCCATCGACTTTGGTACAACGAACCCACAGTGACCCGAGGACACAGCAGGCAACACAGCACAGACCACAGCAGGGAACAGAACACAGCCCACAGCAGGGAACAGCACAGACCACAGCAGGCAACACAGCACAGCCCACAGCAGGGAACAGAACACAGACCACAGCAGGGAACAGCACAGACCACAACAGGGAACAAACGCAACACAGACCACAGCAGGGAACACAACACAGACCACAGCAGGGAACAACACAGACCACAGCAGGGAACAACACAAACCACAGCAGGGAACAGCACAAACCACAGCAGGAACAGACCACAGCAGGCAACACAGCACAGACCACAGCAGACCACAGTAGGCAACACAGCACAGACACAGCAGGGAACAGCACAGACCAGAGCAGGCAACACAGCAGACACAGTAGGCAACACTGGCACAGACCACAGCAGGGAACACAGCACAAACCACAGCAGGGACAGACCACAGCAGGCAACACAGCACAGACCACAACCAGACCAGTGAGCAACACAGCACAGACCACAACAGAGAACAGCTGAGACTGAGGCAGGCCTTACAACCCAGACCACAGTAAGGCAACACAGCACAGACCACAGCAGAGACAGCACAGACCACAGCAGGGAACACAGCACAGACCACAGCAGGGAACAGCAGACCACAGTAGAGCAACACAGCACAGACCACAGCAGGGAACAGCACAGACCACAGCAGGGAGCACAGCAGACCACAGTAGGCAACACAGCACAGACCACAGACCACAGCAGGGAACAGCACAGACCACAGCAGGCAACACAGACCACAGCAGAACAGCACAGACCACAGCAGGCAACACAGCACAGACCACAGCAGGGAACAGCACAGACCACAGCAGGCAACAGACCACAGCAGGGAACAGCACAGACACTTAAACTGTTAACTATTGTAGCTCGGTAAAGCTTCGTCACCACAGAGTCACTTCTTAATAATAATAATGTAAGCTGCCCAAACAGGTGACAGTACACCTATAGGTCACCCGCACCTCCAGACTAATTAAGCCCCGCCTTCAAAACAGTCTATTCGTGTGTGTGTGTGTGTGTCATTTGCGGGAGGCTGAGGGAGAAGGGAGAAGGGAGAAGAGAGAGAGAGAGAGAGAGAGAGAGAGAGAGAGAGAGAGAGAGAGAGAGAGAGAGGTGTGTCATGTTGAGCCAGAACTTGGGTAGTCATGGAGGCGAGAATAACGGGGATTTCCACACAAACAAAATAAACAAACTCTTGGTAGAGAGAGAGAGAGAGAGAGAGGGTGAAATAGAGATAAGAAAAGAGAGAGAAAGAAGGTAAGGAACTGAGAAAGAGAGTGAGAGAAAGAGACCAAAAAGTACTCAAACTTTATGACAGAATTTCCTCTCCCTGAAGACCAGAAGTTTTTGCAAGTTCACCCTCCCTTATTATGCTCACCTCCCTCCATGTCCCTCCCTATGATCATCCCTCCTCTATCCCCACGAGGCACAACCTCCCTTGATTATGTTTCAACCTCCCTCTCCCTTACTATGCTCCCAACCTCCCTCCCGCTTACTATGTTCCCAACCTCCCTCTCCCTTACTATGCTCCCAACCTCCCTTACTATGCTCCCAACCTCCCTTACTATGCTCCCAACCTCCCTTACTATGCTCCCAACCTCCCTTACTATGCTCCCAACCTCCCTTACTATGCTCCCTTCTCTCCCTGCACCACACGAGGTACTGCAGAAGCTCGTTAACAAGTGACTGAGGGCCAGCTGGTGCCATTATCTACGTCGAGGGTAAGTTTGAGTGCCACGTGCTTGAGTGTGTACAAGTGTGAGTGTAATAGGAGTGCCACGTGCTTGAGTGTGTACAAGTGTGAGTGTAATAGGAGTGCCTCGTGCTTAAGTGAGTGTGAGTCCTTCGTGCTTAAGCGTGTATCAAGTGTGAGTGCAAGTCCTTCGTACTTAAGTGTGTATCAAGAGTAAGTGTGAGATACGTTCCTCGTGCTTAAGTGTATCAAGTGTAAGTGTGAGATAAGTGCCTTGTGCTTAAGTGAGTGTGTTTATTATCATCATCAAGAAATGACTGATAACGAGGCATTAGAGGGCCTCAATAGTTGACAGTGTTCTAGGTGTGTCAGAAGAGGTGGACAGACACCCGTGTATGACAGACAGAAGGATGATCTCTATGTTAGACAAAGGGGAAGGAAGGGAGGGTGGAGAGAGAGGGAGAAGGAAGGGGGGTAAGGAGAGAGAGGGAGAAGGGAAGGAGTAGAGAGAGAGGGAGAAGGGAGAGGGAGCAGGAGAAGGGAGAGGGAGCGGAGAAGGGAGAGGGGAGCGGGAAGGGAGGGAGCTAAGGAGGTAGAAAGGGAGAGGGAGCGAGTGAGGTAGGAAAGAGGGAGAAAGGTGGAGAGAGAGAGGAGAAAGGAGGAGAGAGGGAGAAAGGAAGGAGAAAGGGAAGAGGAAAGGAGAGAGAGAAAAAGGAGAAAGGAAGGGAGAGAGGGGAACTGAGGGGAGAAGGACTATTGGCACAACAAGCGTGACCAATTGTGAGAGTTATGGTCGAGCTCACGTGACTGGCGGCATGACACAAGGCTTCAAGTGTCGTTTAGCCCCCCCCCTCCTCCATCTTCATCATCCAGCGTCATCCATTAACTCACCGATCGATGGTAAAAACATCCCGTATCAGAAGCACTTTATACGGCCGCTCGTAGACAACTGGAGGTGAGGCGAGAGGGCGCGGTGATGGTGTGGGGCGTGGTGTGTGGGCGTGGTGTGGGGGCGTGGTGTGGGATGGTGAGGGCGTGGTGTATGATGGTGAGGGTGTGGTGTAATGATGGTGAGGGCGTGGTGTGGGGGGTGGGGATGGTGGGTGAGGCGTGGTGATGATGGTGAGGGCGTGGGGATGATGGTGAGGGCGTGGTGTGATGATGGTGAGGGGGGTGTGGGGGCGTGGTGGGGTGGGCGTGTGTGGGGGATGGTGAGGGCGTGGTGTGATGATGGTGAGGGCGTGGTGGGGATGTTGAGGGCGTGGTGTGGGGATGGTGAGGGCGTGGTGGGTGGTGAGGTGGTGTATGATGGTGAGGGCGTGGTGTGATGGTGAGGGTGGTGATGATGGCGAGGGCGTGGTGGGAGTGGTGTGTGGGGGGCGTGGTGTGATGATGGTGAGGGCGTGGTGGGATGAGGGCGTGGTGGGGGGGGTGAGGGCGTGGTGGGGATGGTGAGGGCGTGGTGTGGGGATGGAGAGGCGTGGTGGATGATGGTGAGGGTGGTGTGGGGATGGTGAGGCGTGTGTGATGGTGAGGGCGTGGTGATGATGAGGGCGTGGTGTGTGGGCGGTGTGGGATGGTGAGGGCGTGGCGGTGTGTGGGATGGTGAGGGCGTGGTGTGGGGATGGTGAGGGCGTGGGTGATGATGGTGAGGGCGTGGTGTGTGATGGTGAGGGCGTGGTGTGATGGTGAGGCGGTGTGATGGTGGAGGGCGTGGTGTGTGGGCGTGGTGGGGATGTAGGGCGTGGTGTGATGAGGTGAGGGCGTGGTGTGGGCGTGGTGTGGGATGGTGAGGGCGTGGTGGATGATGGCGAGGGCGTGATGTGGGCGTGGTGTGGGGATGGTGAGGGCGTGGTGTGATGAAGTGAGGGCGTGGTGGGATGGTGGGAGGGCGTGGTGTGATGAGGGTGAGGGCGGTGTGATGAGGGTGAGGGTGTGGTGTGTGGGCGTGGTGTGGGGATGGGTGAGGGCGTGGTGTGAGATGGGGGCGTGGGTGGGGATGGTGAGGGCGTGGTGTGATGAGGGTGAGGCGTGGTGTGGGTAGGGGTGTGGTGTGTGGGCGTGGTGTGTGGGGATGGTGGGCGTGGTGTGATGGGGTGAGGGCTGGGTGTGGGGATGGTGAGGGCGTGGTGTGATGATGGCGAGGGGCGTGATGTGTGGGCGTGGTGTGGGGATGGTGAGGGCGTGGTGTGAGGATGGTAGGGGCGTGGTGTGATGGTGGGGCGTGGTGTGGGGTGGTGTGGGGATGGTGAGGGCGTGGTGTGATGATGATGGGGCGTGGTGTGGGGATGGTGAGGGCGTGGTGTGATGATGGTGGGGGCGTGGTGTGGGGGGTGAGGGCGTGGTTGATGTGGGGTGGTGGGGGGATGGTGGGCGTGGTGTGATGATGGTGAGGGCGTGGTGTGGGGATGGTGGGGGCGTGGGTGTGATGATGGTGGTGTGGGGATGGGCGTGGTGTGGGGATGGTGAGGGCGTGGTGTGATGATGGTGAGGCGTGGTGTGATGAGGGTGGGGCGTGGTGTGTGGGCGTGGTGTGGGGATGGTGGGGCGTGTGAGTGAGGGTGGGGGTCGTGATGTGTGGGCGTGGTGTGGGGATGGTGAGGGGCGTGGTGTGAGAGATGAGGGGGCGTGGTGTGGGGATGGTGAGGGCGTGGTGTGATGGGGTGGGGGCGTGGTGTGATGGGGTGAGGGCGTGGTGTGTGGTGGTGGTGGGGGCGTGGTGTGATGGGGTGATGTGTGGGCGTGGTGTGGGGGATGGGGGATGAGGTGAGGCGTGGTGTGATGATGGTGAGGGCGTGGTTGTGATGGCGAGGGCGTGATGTGTGGGCGTGGTGTGGGGATGGTGAGGCGTGGTGTGATGGTGTGAGGGCGTGGTGTGTGGGGTGGTGTGATGATGGTGAGGGCGTGGGTGTGATGGTGGGGTGTGGTGTGATGGTGGGGCGTGGTGTGATGATGGGTGAGGGCGTGGTGTGATGATGGTGAGGGACGTGGTGTGTGGTGTGGGGATGGTGGGGACGTGGTGTGTGGTGTGGGGATGGTGCGTGTGTGATGTGGGATTGTGAGGGTGTTGTTTGATGTGGGGATGGTGAGGGCGTAGTGTGTGATGTGGTGATTGTGAGGGCGTGGTGATGTCGAGGGCGAGGTGAGAGCGAGGTGTAGCTGGTTGCGCTTTCCTGAGAAACGGTAAATGAGCATGAAATAGGCGTAACGGCCGCGGGCAGAGACACGGATACAATGAATACAGGATGATGGGGGGAACGAGCGACAAGGGGACGCACTCTCCCCTCAATGGGACCACACGGGGGACCACGGGGGTGAGGGGCCGCCAGGGGAGAAGGGAGACACAGCCGCCACCGCCAAAAGTGAAACAGATGTGATGATGGACGCGGCTCCACAACTCCACACCAGAGGATATAACTCACACTAACACCTTTAATTAATTTGCAATTTTACGCTGCCGGAGATAAGATTATTCTCCTTTAATTCCTGGTGTAGGTGTAGCCGTCAACCCCAACAACGTCATCCGAACCTTTTAGAAAAATAAGTTAAACAAAAGCGCATCGCGGCAGAGTGGCGGATCGTCTTCCCCTCTTGCGCGGGGCGGAACCCAATGTAAATTAAATCATTCTCCCCTCTAGAGTGTCGGTAAGCTAATATAGAGGGTAATAGAGCAATGTCAACCCTAGGAGGTGAGTTGTGATTGCTTAATGGGAAACAGAGACTGTGTCAACAGCTGAGGTGGGAAGGCAAATAACCTGCGGCGTCGGCTAAGGGGGGAACTTAAGTAGAGATAGTGGTTCCCGTCACTCCAGGTCGACGCCTCCACCCCCCTCCCCCTCCCTCACCGCTCCCACGCACATTTTTTTCCATAGTGTATAAAAAAAATTAACAATTAGAGCCCAACTCGTAGTCCGTTTACGACAGTGTTTCCGCGCGGGGAAAAATAATAATAAAAAGAATTATCACAAAGACATAATCCCGCGATCTTTCAAACGCAGTGGACGAAATATTTATACAAAGAATCTTTTCACCAGGTCCCGCGGCACAATACCCGCGTCCTGGTATTCATTTCCCTCCGCTGTTCAAGACCCTTTGTGAGCCGGAGCGTAAGTGGGAAAAAAAAAAGATGTGAAAAAAATTCTTCAGGTAGGCGCCGGGGTGGAAAACCTGTCGAGTAAGACGCCCTAATTACGGTGGCGGAGGAGCAAGAGACGAGGCAAGAGGGCGGTCACACGGCCGCCTAGATGCCTGCCCGCCCCAAACACTGATTTGCATGATTCTTACGTTACTGCTGTACTTCCTCTCATCATTCAGCCTCAAAAGACCAATATATCCTCCTCTGAATGATAAAATATAACGGAGAATTGCTAAGCTTGTGGGAGAGTGAGGTGTGCATGTATAGACCTAGTGCGCAGAGAAGGCGGAGTGTACAGTGCAGTGTGGTGACGGAGGAGGGGGCTACTGGGCACGTTAGCTGGGACCTGCGCTGCCGGGGGTTAACATTAGCCTAATTATGGGTGTCACGTTACAAAGGCCAGTCACGCATCAGGGACCAATTCAAGAGAGGTGTTGGTAATGTGGCGCCGCGGGGTGACAAATGACCTGTCTTGGCTTGTATATCCCTCCCCTGTTATTCTACCTCCCCCAGACACCCCCTACACACACAGACACTCACAAACACGTAGAAAAAAAAAGACTCATAATCAACCGGGTATCTGCGTCAACACCTGTGTATCTCAGATCTTGTTTGGTCACCTGAGGAAATTCATCACCTTTTAACACCTGAACCAGACAGTAAGTTATTGTGTTATTTTTAATTTTGAGTAAGAAATAAATTAACAGTGTGGGATAGTGAAAGCATCTGGGAGAGAGAAATATACCGATAAAGTAAAATATAAGAAAACCTGACAATTATTATTATTATTACTACTATTTTATCATTATTATTACTATTATTATTATCATTACAGTTATCAAAGATTAAGCAGCACACTTCACACAACAACTACCTACACTTTTACACAACAATTATCACTAAATTCAAACACACGATAAAGTCATCCATACCCACAGGTAAATATTAATTAACTCCTTTATATAACCTGTACTAACCCCTAATTGGCAGAGTTTTATGTTCAGGTGACAATATTTACTCTTACCGCTATCTTATGGAACAAGTAATGTATGTATGTATGTATGTATGTATGTATGTATGTATGAATTTGTTATGACGACGTGTTGCAAATTGAGTTCCTTTTGCGGGTCTTTCCTCCTACACGTCGTAAGGTAGGGCGGGCGAATGGGCGGACAGAGGGACGGGCGAACGGAACCCCACCGCACCCTCCGTTAAAGCAAACAAACGGTTATTACAACGGATTGAAAGTAAACAAACGGTTATTACAACGGATTGAAAGCAAATATTGGTATAATAACGGTAATATTTTGATTTTTCTGAAGTCTTCGTTGTCATAGTTACATCAACGACAACAACAGAGGACTAACAGATAAAAGGTGTATTAACGGTAATGACAGGTGTAACAACGGTAATATCTAGGTAATAACAGGTATAATAACGGTTGGGAGCTTATTACAGGCAGGCAGACAGACTGTCATTTACACACAAAATCATGACAGACTGACAGACAAACAATTATGACAGACTGACAGACAGACAGACACAGTCATTACAGATAGATACAGAAGCTCATCATCATCGTTCATTATCTTCACCACTATCATCGTCATTACTATTAACATTGTCATCATTATCAACATCATTATCACTATCATCAGTCATCACTAGGCTTAGGATAATTATGCATTTGCATATGTGCATATGCAAATGCATATTTAAGCCATTTTTTAGCTAAAGTGCATATTCATATTTTTTTTGTTTTATAAGGCATATATTTGGAAAATTCCAAAATATTATAAACATTCTTCAACCTCAAGGGTCAAAAAATTCGCGAGCATAACAGCAACGCTGAGGCAGAAATTACTGATATTTGAAATATAATAAATGTCCATTTTGTTGCACTAATACAAAATCGAAAATACGCAATTTTGTTTTAGCGTCATAATATCCAAAAGGAACATACTTAAGTGACGTTTATATAGGTCAACATTAGGCTGTGGTTAGCTAGGCCGTGATTGGCTGATCAGTGGACATGACCTGTACGTGAGGGGTTCGTGTTCAGCCAGGCAGGGTATAGATGCACGGGCTCCCTCGGCTACTGACACTCTTTTGTTCTTCTGTTTTCTTAAAAGTAAAATAATTTTTTCAGTATTGTTTAATAAATTACTTTGTCAGTATATTGTTTTTTTAATTTAATCCTTCTTTAAGATATCCTACTTCGGCTACATCCTGCCTGGGAAAGTAAATTTACTGAGAAAATGTACAGAAAAGGAGTTATTAACTTAGTAGTTATTATTTATTAACACATTTTAAAGTGCATATTTAAGTGCATATTTTCTCAGTTTTTACTGCATATTTGCATACATATTTAGCCATTTTAAATGCATAATTATCCTGAGCCTAGTCATCACTATCATCATTCATCACTATCATCGTCATTATCATCACACATCACTATCATAAGTCATCACTATCATCGTCATTATCATCAGTCATCATTATTATAGTACCTAAGGTTAAGGTTAGGTTAGATTAGATTAGGTTAGTTTTAGGTTATGTTATGTTTGGTTAGGTTAGAATAGGTTAGATTATATTAAGGTTAGGTTAAGTTACTTTAAGGTAGGATTAGGTTAGCTTAGGTTAAGTTAAGCTAAGGATAGGTTAGGTTAACGTTTGGTTAAACTAAGGTTCTGCTAAGATTAATTCACGGTCCTACTCGAAGTACTCCTCCTTACACCACCTAACACTCGAGTAGAGGACGAGAGCTCACCTGTACTCGACTCTCGGGCAGGTTGATCTTGATAGCCACTTCCTCCCTCATAAATATATCAGGATAGCGGGTCTTGGCAAACAGGGACTCCAAGATATCTAACTGAGCCCTAGTGAAGGTGGTCCTCTCCCGCCGCTGTTTCCTGGTGGGAGCTGAGGTCACCGAGGAGAGGGACGTCCATGAGTTCCCTGAGGAGGACCCGAGGGAGTGAGATGAGTTACAGGTATATGGTTAATTAGCATCGTCGTATAGGTAAGAAAAATATTGTTATTAGCTAAAAGTCTTATAGAGAGTCCTGAGGTATTTTAATGACAGGTATAATAACATAGATTGACACCTCTCATTTAATGGAAACTTCAATTTAACGGACAATATGGCGAGAAAGGTCCTTTATATAGAGGGCATGATCAGATGTGACACCTCCATCTAATGAACTATATCGAAATGAAAATCCTATATATGGAGGATCCGTTAAGGTTTGAAATCCCTGTCTAAAGGATTACATGGAGAGAGAAGTCCGCTATATGGAGGTTTTACTGTATTCATTAGTCAAGAGTTATAATGGGTAATATGTCACGACAGGTAAGAGTACTCACTCATCTGGGTATATTATATAAACACGGGACAACAGAGAGCGAGTTAGCTTACCTGCAGGATATGGTACTGAAGGGTGAACACCGTGATCCATGGGCGAGTGGTGCCCCATGCCCAAGCCCAGGCCATTCATGGGGTAAGGGGGGCTCTTGAGGTAGGCCATGCCCCCCCCTAAACCCCCCTGGGCCCCGAAGGTGCCGTGGTAAGCCAGCCTGGTGGAGGTGTGCGCCGCCTGCTGAAGGAAGGAAGGAACACTCATGTCAAGACTTTGTTTATATCACGTGACAACAACAACAACACACACAAGTTCAACACCTAAGGTCAACAATACACCAACACCATACACAGGGACCACTCGTGTACAGGGTCCCCCTCTCGTGAATAAAATCGTATTAAAAGTAGCGTCACCGTAGCGAAGTGCATGGTTAAACATCCAATAAAATAACAATAAATTCCATAACAATCCACCTAACGATAAACACCACAACAGCCTTAAAAAAAAAGAACATCGGAGTAATAAAAATATCCCCGTTTATTATTATACTCTGGGTACACCGTCATAATAATACCTCCCTCACAGAGCTATTAAATCAAGTACAGGTCCCTCCCTCCCTCCCTCACGCACTTCTCAGGTATCCCGGAAACAATTACCGACCAATGAGGAAGTAATGAACCGAGAAGACTACCGGGAAGAGGAGGAGGAACTAGGCAGGGCTACAACTGGAAGCCCCTCTCGATCAACCTCCCGACACCCGACCCCGCTACACGTCACCCTTCCCGCTCCCATAACGATCATTACCCCCTCCCCCTCCTCCCCCTGATTATTCTACCGTCCTTTATCATTAAAATAAAACATACCTATACCCAAACACAACACAGGTAAGGTTAAATAATATGGGTTTTTTACAGGGAAAGAGTTAGAAATGAGAGAAGAAACGACGATAAGCGACAGGGGTGAGGGTAGGTTTGTCGCTTGCTCGTCCGCCCGCCCGCCTAACCCTCTCTCCTCATGTCCCAGTTACCGCCGCCGCCGCCGCCGCTACCACCGCACCCCGCCCTCCTCCTCACTGAACCAGATTGAAAATGAACACCGAAATGGACAGAATGGATACGTTCTATTATCCTGTCCCTCCCTCTTTCTATACGGATCGCTACTGATATTACTATTGATTCTACTGTTACTGTTACCATTATTACTGACTCGACCTACTGTTACTTCTACCACTATTACTGACTCGACCTACTGTTACTTCTACCACTATTACTGACTCGACCTACTGTTACTTCTACCACTATTACTGACTCGACCTACTGTTACTTCTACCACTATTACTGACTCGACCTACTGTTACTTCTACCACTATTACTGACTCGACCTACTGTTACTTCTACCACTATTACCGACTCGACCTACTGTTACTTCTACCACTATTACTGACTCGACCTACTGTTACTTCTACCACTATTACTGACTCGACCTACTGTTACTTCTGCCACTATTACTGACTCGACCTACTGTTACTTCTACCACTATTACTGACTCGACTTACTGTTACTTCTACCACTATTACTGACTCGACCTACTGTTACTTCTACCACTATTACTGACTCGACCTACTGTTACTTCTACCACTATTACTGACTCGACCTACTGTTACTTCTACCACTATTACTGACTCGACCTACTGTTACTTCTACCACTATTACCGACTCGACCTACTGTTACTTCTACCACTATTACTGATTCGACCTACTGACTCGACCTATTCACTAGTAGTCCCCCTAAAATACTTGTTGTTTGAGTGATAGTTAGCAAAATATTTGTTGCTAGTAGGCTGGCTGCATAAGAGACAGTGGTTGCTTATTTGCTTAGTTCCTATATGAGGTGGTAATAAGCAATTATGGTTGGCTGGTTCATTAGTTGACTGGTTGGTTGCTGGTAAGATAGTGGCGGTACTTGTGGTAGTGTATATAATAATAATAATAATAATAATAATAATAATAATAATAATAATAATAATAACAACAATAACAACAATAACAACAATAATAACAATAAAAATAACAATAATAACACTAATAATAATACTAACAACAATAATAATGATCTCACTAGGGGGTAAATTACAAATGTTAGTAATGTCCAAAGTTCTGCAGTGTTAATATGTGTCGCATGAATGTTGGCAGTGTCGTAAAAATGTTAATAAACTGCTAAAAATGTTTAATATAGAGAAGGAATATTAAAGCAAAATATATATTAAAGTATCCATTAAAATAATATTGTCACTTAAGAAATGTTAGAATAATCCCTTAAAAGAATGTTGAAACGATGGTAATAATGTTAGAATGTGTAATAGCGGACTGACAATGTTTCCAGGAATGTTGAGGAGGATGTGGGTTGGCACACTGGATTGCGGTGTTCGCATGACCTGTCTGGGTGTGGGGGTTCGATGTCCGTATGAAAAAAAAGATAAATATAAGAAAAATCAAATGAATTATATAAACAAATTTAAAAAAAATAACTAAATTAAAAAAAAACAAGAAATGATAAAAATAAATTAATAAATGAATAAATTAAATTAGATAATGAAAAATAAAATATATATAATAATAGGTGTAAAAATAGACCAATTGATAGTTTAAATAATATAAAATAGCTACAATAGGTAAATAAATCTGTATAAAGTAATTAATACAATACAACATATTTAATACATCTTAAGGAACTACAAAACACACACACACACGTACTTCATTAACGCACATACATACATACACGTCACTTTAACGCACACGCATAGATGTAAAATTCACTAACACACATTACGCGAAGACATACAAACGCACACATGCACATAAATGTCACTAACGCACATACACACGGCACTAACACGCACACACACATACTCTTAAACCTCACTAGCACACGCACACACACACGAAAATAACATAACATGACATGACAGTTTTAACGCAGGAAAGACAATTTTTAATGAGAAATTTGAACGCGAAATATGACACTGTATTAGATATATATATACGGACGCACTACGGACACCGCGGACGATTTTAACTACGGACGCTACATATACGGACATAAATTACATTGTCACTACGTACGCTATAAGTCATCAAAAATGCGGACACTAAGTACACTGCCTTGCATATACACAAAATAAATCTTAATTTTTTTTCGCAAAAGACAATTCTAGTTAATTATAAAATGAATAAATAGTATTAATTGTGTTCTTGTAATTCATAAAACATTTGCCTGTAATTATTAAGGACAGACTGTCGTATGTTTCAACTATTACCCCCCAAAATGGAAATCGTATTTATCAATTTTAATTATACACCGATATAATAACCGGGAAGGAATTTATAATATTTGTTTGAGTTTGTTTGTTGACCCTGTGTTTGTTTGTAGCTTCATGTCTGTTTGTATTCTCATGTCGGTGTGTTTGTCAGTTAAAACACACACACACACACACACGAAAGGGAAATAACACTTGTGTACCTGTGTGTGTGTGTGTACCTGTGTGTGTGTGTGTGTGTGTGTCCATTATTCACAGAGCGATGAATAAGTAATAAGAAACTATAAGTAGGCGGAAACTAATCGCGTGTTTGGTAGATCAACTCAACAACAACAAAATTAATGTGAAGAAACTTGTCTGGAATTCGCTGTAAACTTTGTCAACGCAGCAACACGCGACGCAACAATTGACATTCCGCCGCATACCACGACGGAGAGAGAGAGAGAGAGAGAGAGAGAGAGAGAGAGAGAGAGAGAGAATTAGATATAGGATTTGAGTGAGTGAGTAAACCGATGAATATATCCAGTTGACACTTTACCTATAAACTCAAAACAACAACAACAAATAATAATACATGCACCACCATAAAAATTAACCTTAATTTAAAACATAACAAAAACATTTCTAACAAACACATACAAAAAAATACTTTCAATTTCAATTTTCAATTTCAATTGTTTATTCCTTGATAGAGGAAGGTACCCCTGTACAATAACACCAGAAGCATCTGGCAAGTGTGACAAGTATATACAGTATAAATATTGTAAAGGGGCTTACTAAAGCCTAAGGAAGGAAGGATATTCCTTTAACACATAATCAATGTTATTTACAAAATATCTGGCCAGTATGGGGAGGATCATCGTGTCTCCGTCAGGGGGTCGTGGAGTGGTGGTCCAGCAGGCGTCACGGAAGTGTTGTGTGTGGGGACATCTTAGGAGGTAGTGGATAAGGGTGCGGCTGTCGGGTCTTCTGCATAATGCACAAGAGCGTTGCTCAGGGGATGCGGGGATACCAATCTCCTAAGCAAAGTCATACCCAATGATGATACGGGCAGCAATCACGTCCCCTTTCCGCGACCCTTTCCCATAGACATACGAGAGGTAAAATACTTTCACTAATCCATTTACATAGCAACATGTATTCAGATTATCAAGGAATAAAATAACTGAAGAAATGTGAAACCGATAATGACTTTAGAGCAATTTATATATGTAAGCATTACCTACAGCAACTACAGCTTCCCCGTGTTTGTTAGGCATTGTAACTGCTCGTCTTCACCACCATCACCATACTGCTCGTCTTCACCACCATCACCATACTGCTCGTCTTCACCACCATCACCATACTGCTCGTCTTCACCACCATCACCATACTGCTCGTCTTCACCACCATCACCATACTGCTCGTCTTCACCACCATCACCATACTGCTCGTCTTCACCACCATCACCATACTGCTCGTCTTCATCGTCACTATAGAACCACCACACACAAGAACCACCCCTATGCATCTACCTTATCTACAACAATATCTACAAGTACAATATGTTGTGAAAATAGTCCATCAGATCGCTTATATTAATACTACACTATACTGACACATCTTAACACAAACCTGATACATATGTGTCCTAATCGATGGAGTTCACGTATTTTATTATTTTACATTAACTCCTAGAATGAAAATTTAAAAAAATTATATAAAATAATTTCTCCATTATGCCAGTCACACACACACACACACACACACACACACACACACACACACACACACACAGCTCCATTTTAACACACCATCACCTTACTTTACATGAGAGAGAGAGAGAGAGAGAGAGAGAGAGAGAGAGAGAGAGACCCAATCTCAACAGAAGCAGCTCGAACTGACTCCCGAAAAAGCCTGGGCCAAGTTGAGGAGGTGGAGG